AAAAAAAATTTAAGGTTAATAATAGACGAAAAACAGCTAATCATTATATGGATGTTAATTACTATAAATTAAAATTAATATATGATTATAGTAAAATAATTTTAATTTTTTTAAATTAAATACTTTATTTCGGATATTTAAATCGAATTTAATGTTCGTTAATGTTATGACACAAGCAAATAACAAAAATCTTCCATAAATGTGAGTTTCAAATATTCGTTTTTTAATATCGTTTTTTAATAAAAATAACTAATAATTTTTTCTGATTTATTAAAAAAAAAACAAAAAAAAAAAAAGAGAAATTGTATTAATAGAAGGCTCTAAAAAAATACAATATCTTTTTTTTTTTTAATTTAAATATTTATTGTTTTTCTGTAAATCTTTATTAAAATTATCAATTCATCTACTCCCATAATCATCCATAATAATTAAGCTCTTTTTTTTTAAATACAAATATATATTATTTTTTAAAATTTTATTAGTACTTTTGTTTTTGATAATAATTTTTGAAATTAAAATTATTAAAATTATTGAAATATTAAATAATTAAACCATCACTAAATTCTTTCTCATTTCGAAAAAGCTTTTTTGATTTTCATATAGTAATTAAAGCAAAAACATTTAAATATTGAAATTCTAAATTATTATGTTAATATTAATCTTTTTCTTTTGCAATTTAAATTTGATACATATTAAATTTGAATGGATCACAATTAATAATATTATATTTGCTCATTAACATGTTTGTTATGTTTAATATAACATATTTGTTTTCAGAACACAATTGTGTTTTTATAATATTTCTTTATAAATGTTTTTTCAAAAAAAAAAAAATTTAAATTCATAGAGCATCTACTCAAATTCAGATTTAACGTTTTCAGATTTAATTATTTAGCAATATTGTCTTAATAAACTTCCATATTCATAGAAATTTTGTATTTCATTAAGAATCTCTAATATTATTTCTTTTATTTTTTATATTTTTAATAAATATTGTTCAAAATTAATTAAATAATTAAATAAATAAACAAAAAAAAAATTTTTTTTTCTTTTTGTTTTTGTAATAAATCAAATATCAAAACAAACAAACAACATAATTAAGTACAAAAACTCAACAAAAAAAAAAAAAAGAAACTAAAAAACAAAGTTCATAAACTGATTTAAATCAAAACAAAAAAAAAGCTTTAAAAATTAAAAAATAACTCAAAACAAAATATAAATAACACAGAACAAAAAACACTTAAAAAAAAAATATTAAGTAAAATCGATAAAGTAAAAAAAAAGCCAAAATTAGAAAAATTAAATAAAACATTTAGCGTAAAATTATAAAAAACGTAAAAATTACAGCAGGCTACACGAAAAAAAAATCATAAGAAACTTTGAAGAAAAAATTAAAAAATTAAAAAAAGAAATGAAATAGAAAACATCAATCATTTTTGATAACAAAAAAAGAAAAAAAAAAACAAACAACAATTTAAAAAATTCATAATTTGAAAAAAAAAAACTCAAAAAAAAAATACCTAAATGAATTTAAAAATAAAAATAATTAATTAAAAACAAAAAAAAAAAAACAACAATTCATTAATTTAATAGGTTAAGATACAAAAATTCACTAAAATCAGATAAATGTTATTAAAAATGTAATAAAAAAAATTCAAATAACAAATGTATATACATATATATATGTATATATATTTATATATATTTATATGTATATACATACATATATTAAAAAAAAACTTGTCGTTTTAATTTAAATAAAAAAAAAAAATGAAGAAGAAAATTTAATTAATAATAATGAACAAGAAGAACAAAAATTTAATTATATGAATAAAATCTAGTTTTATAAGATCCTTAAATATAAGTTTAAATTATAATTTATATATTTATGTACTAATTATAATTATTATAATAAAATATATTATATATTATATGTGTATACATTATATACACACAAAAATTTGTGTATATACATATATATACAAAATGTAATACAAAAAAAATTTAATTTAACTTTTAAAATGAGGAATAAAGAAAAGAAAACTATTACCAACATTATATACTTAATATAATAAAAATGTCTCAAAAAAAAAAAAAAAACAAACATTTAAACTAAGAACAACACAAAAATAAAAACAAAAAAACTTAAATAAATCAATATTTACATTATAAAACAAAATTAAAGTATATATATATATATATATATTAGTATTAAGAAGTGAAAAAAAATTTAAATTAAATTAAGAAAAACATTAAGAAAAAAAAAACACTTTTAGAATTAACTATATCTTTCAATGTATAAATAAAAAAAAAAAAATGGTATAAAACAAAATAATGAAATACTACAAAAAAAAAAAATTAAAAATATATGTATATATATATGTTTATATATATATACATATATATTTGTATATATATATAATACATATACATATATATTTGAGAATTAATATGAAAAAAAAGTGTAAAATGTAAAAAAAAGAAAAAAATTAATTTAAACTAATAAAAAAAAAAATTAAATAATTTAAAATAATTTTCTATATTTTATTACCCCCACCTATCTAAAAAAAACATTTCCCTTTTTACCCATTATTATAAAGGCCTTTTCATAAACGCAGTATATGAGACTTGCAAAAATTGCGCTTTTATATCGTTCCAATATTTATAGCAATTATGTTTCTAACCTAATTTGTATATAAATATTGCTAAATTTAGAAATTAATAAGAGTAGCACAGTTACATAAATCGTATAAACTGTTCTGATTTAATAGAATAGTTAAAAATATATGTTTTTGCAGTATTGCGTTTCACAGACAGTAAATAATTATTATTCGGAAAGCTCTTTGTTTATCATCTGAAATATTTAACAACTTGAAAATCTAATATAATCAAATAACGTTTGGTGTTTTAAACATAACGTTTTGAATTTCGAAACAATCTGCAAAAAGTAAAATTGATTTTAGTAATATTTACCAAAATGTCAAAATAAAGTCAAATTCACGTCAACTAACAATAAATTTCTAAATAAATTTTTAGTATGCATTCAGTCTGAAAGACCGTACTTACATTATGTACATGTTAAGAATTGTTCCAAAAGAAAAAGAAAATACAAGATTTTTGTTACTTCGCTTAAAAATGTTTTTTTACTTATCAAAATGCGTAGCAAGGAGCGATTTTAATTTTAGCAAATAAATTTTTTTCCCAAAATATTTTGTGAAAATTAATTAAAGTTAAATGTAACATTGACTTGAAATGATTAAAAGTGAAAAGCAGATTATAGTTATGATATGGTGTAAACACAAATATTATAAAAGTATAGGGAAACATTTGATGCAAGAATACTCGTGTAAATAGGAACAATGCATACATGACGTGTCAATTGTCAATATTGTTGCGTTAAATTGTTTTACATTTTTCTCTTTACCGATTAAAGCGCTCTAAAATATAAATCATGATTCATGATATCTTGTTTATTGGGTTATCTACCATAACCTAATATTAAAATATTTTATATCTTGGTTTGTGTCCAAGATATAAGATATTTTAATATTTTTTAAAATATATCAATATGTGTAATTCAAACGATATAATTAAAATTATTAAAATATCTTATTGTAGATTGTAGATAGTTTTTAATTTGTGATAACTGGTAACATTGTAATATAGAATTTAAGAAATACGAGTAGAATGTAAGAAATATCTATTGCAAATAGCAATAATCCTGATAGTATTATTTACTATCAGATCGTATTATTTAACTATTCTATTTTCCTACAATTTTTATAAATGTTTTTCTAATATTCACACTGATATTGATCTTGATTCTTCGTCATTATGAATTATTTTATAAAATTTTACAGATTTTCTACTTAAATAAACAACAACAAAATCGCTCTACGTTAATTTGAACTTTTTCCGTGTCAAAAGTAAAAGAACTGTAATTAACATCACTTCATAATCAAGAAAATCAAGTTCATCTTGATATTGTGAAGTAATTTCGATATTAGTTATGCTTTGTTATATTTCGTTATATGAATTTATGAATTGTAAAGCAATACTTAATATAGAATAATTTTATTTTATTTTATTTAAAATAAACTGCAACAAATTTTATCTACAACAAAATATTTGCAAACATCATAAAATTTATACAATACAACATACTTAATAAAATTCTTTAATGATGCTATCTTAAACTTAATATATCAATTATAACAATTTGCATATCTCAAATTAATTCCGTATGACAATATTATCAAAAAAAAAAAAAATAGATTAAATAGTTTTTGATGTTAATTTCATAATATGCACTTATAAGCAAAACAGATAACAATGTACATGTGTAGAGAATTTAAGTTGCATTATCTCAATTTAGGATTTCATTTTACATAAATATGATATCAAAAATTATGTTTGATTATACAAGTTTGTATGTTGATAATAAATTCGGTTAATTTAATCTTGTTTGTAGCTACATTCCATATAACATTATTTAGTATTTTAGTCGTATTTTATTTATATTGTAATTACACTCGTTCAAACAATGATCAATCACTTTCCATCATTTTTTCTCTCATTTTTAACCCTCCATTTGCTCAGAATTTTCATTCAATAATAATCACATTACACTACAAATATGCTCATTTTTTTTTATAATATTTTATAATAATAATATGCTCGCTAATATGTTTAAATGTATGTGTATACCTAGTATATCTTTAATTTTCATAAATATATGTGCATATGTATGTATATATTCTAATAAATGAAATTTTACAATGAAAAATTTCCTTATTCATCATCATAAAAACATTACTGAACAGAGAACGCTTTTCTTTACGTATTCTAGTTCTATTCTTACTGTGTAATTGAACAGTTGATATGAAAAAAATTGATGATTTTTTAATATAAAATTTTATTTTTTTTGTCTCTCAAAATTTAATAAAAGTTATAAATAAAATGAAATGAAAAAAAAAAAATGTGTTTATAAATAAAACAGTAAAAGTAAATTTTTGGATTTTAAGAATAAACAATAAAATTTTATAAAAATGTGTGTTTGTTGTTGTCCAATTGAAAAACTGATGAAATGAAAAAAATTTTAAAATAAATAAACACAAAGGGTGTCTGAACAATATTATATTCTTTAAAATGTAAATTTTAAATTAATAATATTTAGTAAAAACAAAAAAATAATCATAATAATAAAAAATTTTTAATTTATAAATTGTGAATTTTTTGGGATTATAATTATTTTTATAACACTGCATATATAAAGACCACACGCGAAGATTTAATAAAAATTCATTGGTACTAAGCAAATTTTTTAAGATAAAAAAATATTATTAAGGTTATCTGTGATTAGTCATAAACCAGCATCCAACAAGAGATGTTTTTCTTTTCCTTATATTTTTGTTTTTTTTTTTGTTCTTTGTACCAATACAATTAAATTCTCCATTGTATTTTCAATGTATTGAATATTATTGCAAGTATCCTTTTTATATTTGACATTTTAATAGTTGATTCTGAATACATGCGATTTTAATTCTTCTATTTTACTTCATTATTTAAAATATTCTTAAATTATTTCATTCAAATGAATTGTAGTTAATTAATAAAAATTAATGAAAATATAATTAACAATGTATTTTATTAATTTTACAAATTAATTAGAAAAAAAATTTGAAATTATTAAAAATATTGTTTTATTTATTGAATATTTTAATAAGAATATTTTTATAAATACTTAAGATAATTTTATTAAATAAATCCGCTACAAAAAAGAAAAATTACAATAATTGAGGTATTAATCAATAAATTTATCATATATTAACGAAATAAATTATTAAATATAATTTTAATATAGTTAAAATATAAGAAACGAACGAATATTACTACAAATTATAATATTAAATAAAATATAATACGAATCCGACTCACATCAAACTTACACTTTCCAATTCCTGCTATACTTGCTGAGTTGTTAAAAACAACTCTGCTCAAAAATACTTCATTTAATGATATATCCCAACCCTATCAAACTTATGTTTATATATACATACATATGTATCTACCTTGTTTTCTTAAAAATTTTATAATTTCGTATATATGAATAATAGTGCTTAATAAAAGGCCCATGATATTTCTGATAGGTAAAATATAATCGTTTTGTATTTTTTTTAAACCCTTATTTTAAATTTCCTAGAATTTTATAATTTTAATTTGGATAAGATGAGTAGTTAGATTATTTTGGTTAAATATACAATATTGTTTGTGTTCAAGTAAACACTAAGCACTTTTTTTTAATTGACCATATGAATCACATCCCACAAAATTCGTTACACATAATATTTAAAATTATAATAAGTAAGCAAAAAAAAAAAATAAAACAAGTAATTGTTAATAGTTTCCCTCTAATTCTGTGATTTTAAAATTTTCCAAAGAAATTTTCAATTATATTAATTTTTCAGATAAAATTTTATTGTATAGTAAAAAGTCTTTCAACATAAAATTTTCAACCTAATTTCTATTTATGATTCAACTCAACTTTGATTTTTAAAAATGTAAACGTATCTGAAATTTTATATCCTTTCATCAAACTTTATATATTTTGTGTCATTAACTTTGAATTTTATACATATACATGAAAATATATTCTATATATGTATTCATGTGTATAAATAAAATTTACTGTTAAATAAAAAAAAGCGCAGTTTAGAAATTGTAGTTAAATATAGTGTTATTAAAATATTTTTAATATTAAAACTCTTTAATTTTGGAATTCGGATTTAAAAATACGACTAAGATCTAAAAATGATATTAATTTTTAAAAAAGGATTTTTTAAAGGAAAACAACTAACGAAACAATTGCATATGTATTCATATTATATGTTTTATGGCCAGCGTTCAAATATGCATGTATTAGTTAAAGGATTTTGAAGGTTGCTATATAATAAATATTATACATATTAAAAATGTATAGGAAAATTTTTTTATTTGTTCTTTTATTAAGAAAAATGAGCAGCTGTTAGAACAATATGTCACGTGTGACGCGAGCCATATACTTACATATGTATGTATGAGTACGTATATCACGATTTTATTATGAATATTATAGCGATAGCATCTTTTAATAGCGTCTATTGTAATTCTGTAAATATCACTATCATCAAATAAATTAACATTATTGTTATTTACTTATATTTACTTGAAAAGTTTTTTTTTTAACACTTTATCATTATCTTGAATTATAGTATTTAAAATAATATAAAAATAACTGGGCATATTAAGGATTTTTGGTTATTTTTGTTAAGGAAATTAAAGAGAGCAAAACTCTTATTTATTTTCTATTACCATAGAAAATATTTATAATTGTAAAATTAAATACATAATATATAAAGGATAACCTCTAATCAAGGAACTTCAATTAAATTTTATATTTTTTAATAATTATATTATTATGAAATTAATATTATTAAATTAATATTATTGTTTTTTCATATTAATTTAAAATTTCAACAATAATTTATTAAGAAATATTATTTTTTTCTTTAAATTAATATAGTAATTTTATATTTTTGTTTATTTTAAAATCATTTTTAAAATTATAAGTCACATGACGAATTTTTTATATCTTTAGATTCCTATGGGAGAAGTATATACTCGTAGGTTCTTGAGGAAATTTCATATAAGTAATATTAAAATTTCATTTCATATATATATGTATAGTATTTTATACGAGAATTTACTCTCGTATAAAATGTTAGTTGAAATGACAACAACAGTTCTTAAAAATATCTTTGAATATTATACTTAAATAGTATTACACTATTTAGATTAGACTAATAATTTTAAAATAATAAATTGATTTATTTTTTGTTCAATAGTACATTTCAAAGCAAAATTTACATACATATATGTACATAAATGTATATATTATTAGCCATGTATATATATACAGAGTGTTTCGTATAAGGTGGCAAATAATTTTAGGGATGATTCTTTCCAGCATAAAATAAAATTCGCACCCCCCGAATATACTCGCATTTAAGTTGCAGTCTGTGGAAAAAGTACTGAAATGGGTGTCATCATTAAAAAAACAATGATTGATGCAGCTATTTATCATTCCACTTATTTTTTCTTTGGTAAAAGGTAGTTTTTACATTTCACTCATTTTTCCTTTCATTCACTTTTTTGTGATAATGATGACAATGGAGCCTTTATATACAATTGGCTTTTCACAACTAACAGGTTAATTATTGTTCTAGTTTTTTTTTCTAGTAGGGGAAAAAATCTCGAAAGACGAAGCAGGACGATGCTACCTGCCTTTTTCCTCCGACAGTGGGGGAGCGTGACTCCAATCCTAAAAAATTACCTAAACTCTGAACGGATAAGACTTGTTCTATAGTCCATCTACTACCTCTGCGCTAACCTGGTTTTTCCGTACAGGAATTGAATACTTTCCATAAGGAAATTGGTATTTTGTGTTAAATCAAAAGGCGTTGTACGTTTAAGTCTTTCTGTCATAACGTCATTGTCTAGCAACCGAGCTGTTTCCATATTTACATGCTGTCCTAGACGAGTCCTATGCTTTGTAGCACAACTCCTAATTTCATTTACAACCAAAGGAATCCCTAAATCCCTGTGGATGTCGCCTTTACATATATAACATGGCACATTTATCATGCCCCGTAGAACTTTGTTCTGGAGGGTTTGAATTTTCTTAATGTGAGTCTTCTTTGCCCAACCCCACAGTTCAAAACCATATAGCCGTATTTCCTTCTGTTAAAAAAAAATAAAATGGATTTAGGTAATTGACAATTCTAGTCTGAAATTTAATATTGAAATAACTGAAATCAATTTCTGATAAGTTATTAAGACAAGCATGTATCAGTTTTTATGTTTACTTCAATGTAATAATGTAAAATATTCTTTCAAATTAAAATAAAGTCATAACATTTTTAAATATTTTTTATGCGTACGAGTACAATAATTTTATAAATTTCTTTAATTTGATTTAACTCAACTTTTTGTATAATTTTTATTATAAGTACTTGTCTTCAATAATATATACAAAAGTGTATTTTACATATATAGTACATATGTACAAATATGCATATTATTTATATACATATTATAATAGTAGGTAAAATGCTTATATGAATATTTTTTTTTTATTTGTTTGTGTTCGTTGAATAAAAAATTTCCCCTATATATTATTTAAATAAATTACACTTTTGACTTTAAATGTCTGTTTGATATGATAAGAATGAAAGAAAAGAAAAAAAAAAATAATGAAAAAAAAAAGAACAATTAAATTTTTTTATGCGGTCGATCAGTCAGTTTATATATTAGGTGGGTGGGGGAAACAAACAGAGATCACAGTTTAAATAATTAACAACACAATTGCTTCTATATACGTATGTCTGTATTAAATTAACGTACGTATTTTTTAACAGTATAGCAAATTGTATATAATATTTAGAACATTTAATAATTTTTATTAAGAACAACATAAATTTAATACACTTTTTGCAATTTTATAGTTAATTTTTAAAGAACATACATACAATATATATATACGTTACATATAAGTAGTATGTATTATTTCTGCTCACAAAGAGTATAATATGTATTCTAATTCCAGTAACAAAAAATATAATGTACATATAGGTATATATATATGCACATTTAATATTTTTTTTCGAAAACTTTGAATTTTAAAATAGTTAATATTGAAATTAATTGAATTAAATTTAAACAAAATAAAAAGAAAAAAAAAGCAATTTTATCCATTATTGTGTTCACAACGTTTTATTCTTACATATTTAAAGTCAATTCACTTCAGTTGAATTGGAATAATTCCTTTGTATTGTAAATTTACGTATATACTATCCGTACATACAACATACATAATTGTGATAGTCAACAAGTTAAGTTTTTTTTCATATATAGTCAGGGTCGGACTATACTTATACATATATCACAATTATACTAATACATGTAATCATTATAGAATAAAATACATAATTCAATTCTTGAAAACTTTAAATCCAAATTCTAAATTAGGCAAACAATCTATAAAATGTAAAATGTATAGATACTAAATATGTAATATATGTAAATGATACATGTTGTAATTGAATTGATAAACAAATATATAGAATTTATTCCTTTTAATATTCAAATTAAATGTTCAATTTCAATACTCAAATTCAAATACATATGTATGTATTTATGCAATAAGTACATAACAGTATGTAAGTAAAATACATAAATGAAAAAAATTATGTACATGATTTTGATTATTTTTAAAAGTATAAGTCCAAAATAATTTACTTTAAGTGCATGCATAAATTTTTAAATTATAAAACCATATTTCCGTTCTTTATAAACTATGCAGATATCTAAGTATATATTCGGTGTAGCTAGACTGTTGAACAAATTTATAAATGTGTATATACATATGTATATAGGCAAATATATAGGTCTACTACCTTACTTTTGAAAGATGAAAAGACATGAAATTTAAAATTCAAGAGTACTAAAAAAAAAAAAATTAATTTGAGAAAAATTTTCTCATTTGTAGTGAAATTTTACAAAATTTTAATAAAAAAATCATTTGTTGTTTATTATTTGCAATGAAGTAAATACTAAACACTAAGACTTTAATGCTAAAACTAGCTAATTTGTTTTCTTTTTAATGCCTTCTTTAAACAATTCAAATTCACACTAATAAACAAGCTATTGTAAACAAGTAATTCTAAAGTAATGAATGGGGTTCGCAAAGCAATTTACAAGATTTCTTGCCACAAACATTTCGATAGGGAAACAGCTTTAGCGGGAGCGTAATATCACTCCTTTTTATTAATTAAAAATAAAATGTCACAAATTTCGTTCATAATAGGGACTTTCATTTATTGATTACTATTACATCAACGAGTGAAAGGGAAAAAAATATAATTTTCCTTCAACTAGTGAATGACCTAAGAAATTTCCAATTTCATTGTTATCAAATTGACAATCATATGTTTTTTATTTTGTAGTTTGAAAATATAAGAAAATTTAGTTTTTTCTATTCATAAATTAACAATTAATGAAAAAACATACAACAAAAAAAATTGAATTATTTTTTCAAAAAATTGAATAATTTTTTAATGTCATAAACACAATGAAGCCGCATTTAAAAATTGCAAAATTTGATAACTGAAAAAATGTTAGCTTCAACGCGCTATAAAACAAAATAAGGCTGCAGCAGCAAAATACAATAACATACAATAAAAAAAAATAATTATAACTTTACTTTATTCGACTAATGACTATTGTGTTTTTTTGCTTCTCCATTCAGCTATGCCAAAACAGAATTTTCTGAAAACTCAAAGAACTTCTAATTCAAAATAAGAAAAATATAACAGGCAGCGATTGCAAATATTGAAAATAAAATAATTTTGAAGTTGCAGTTTTTGATTACAGTTTCATTGTGTGCAATTCCATTTAAGGCGATTCCAAAATGCGTTTTACGTTGTTCTGTGGCGTTGCGGTACAATTCATATACTTATGTATACCTATAATAAAATGTATACCTATAATAAATAATATTTTGCTTAAGTAAATAAGTATGGAATTTTTTTCAAATAAGTTCGTAAAATTGAAAAATATTCTTATAAATAAATTATATTCGAAAGTATATCTTTGCGGTTCATCACCAATATATATAAATATTATTGTATTAGTGTTTATAATTTGCTAAAAATTTGCTTAAAATATAATTGTATTTTAAGACCATATAATTTTTAAAATTTTTTTATTTGTAGGTCATAACGTACATATTTTATGAATCTGTTTTTGCTCGATTTCTTAATTTTGAAAATTGAATTGATTTTGTTTTTAAAAATTCAATAAATTTTTATTTTTAATTTTATTAATAGAATTAAAACAATTGTTCAAAAAAGAAAAAAAAAGAAAAATGTAATAATGTAGCTATGTGCCATTCTATTTAAAAGAATAAACTTTGAATATAAATTTAAAACTTTTCTAAATAATAATAAAACTTATTTTGGATAATTTTATAAAAATACATTAAAGAAAAATCTATAGAAGTGTACTCATATACAAGTATAATAATGTAAATCAATAAAAAATTCTATAACAAAGTGAGTATACATATATAAATATATACATATACATAAACGCGTATAAAATGAATATGTCATATTTACTTATAAATTTAATAAAAGTGAAATAAAAGAAGAAAAATTAAGAAAAAAAATTGTTTTTAATTAAAAAAAAGAAAAACGAAAAAATTCAATAAATTAAAAATGTCTGGAATATTTCGTTACAATTCATCATCTTCAACACCGGATAAACGATGGACCATAAGCCCATTTTGGTAAGTTACATACACATTCTTTACTAAATTTTATATTTGTTTTTTTTTTATATATAATTTTTATTATAAAGCATAAAAATTATAAAACCAATTTGAAATATCCGGTAATAAACTTAAAAAGAAAATAGAATAAAATTTTCGATTTTGTCTTTCAAATTGTGACAAGAAAGTAGGGGACATACTAGTTATACTAGTGCAAATTTTTATTTATCTACATCAATGTACTTAATTATTACTGGATTTTACAAAGTTTATTTAGCAAAGCATACGCATTTGCAATAAGCAGCGAATAACAGGAGCGCAATTGAAAATTTAAAAAAAAATCAAATTTTTTTCCCAATTTTTTCCATTACGTATTTTTCGCGAAATTTTTTCCTTCTACACTCACAGCACCAACACAACTATTACTTTCAAACGTGCAGATTTTTGCAAATTTTGCAGTTTGAATTTTTTCTTTACGCGCTTTATATTAAGGCTTAAGTTAGAACTGAATTATCAAAAATCTTTATTCGGTTATGTATTTTGTATATTAAAATCATTCTGAATTCATATCTACATAACAATATATAGGAAAAGAGGAACAGACTATAAAAAAATATATGTATATAATATAAATATGAAAATAATAACTGAATAAAGGAAGTGTAAAATGATAATATTACGTTTTGTGAGTTATTCTATATACATTAATATTGCGTGGGTGCGATATATTTCAAAAACATTTTAACTATATATGTTTGCTTCTAACTAGGAAATATCTTTGGTTTAATTAAAATTAGTTGTTTCAATTAGGATCATTACAATTTGCAGTAATATTGTATTGCTATATATATAAAATTTAGTAAAATTCATAAACTGAATGATGTGGATGAGCGAATGGGTTTTCCTTAATTCATTAATTATCCATCTATTTGTATTTAAATAAAAATTGGAGACTCAATAAATTTTGGAGTACACTATAATATACATATTTTAAATATTAAAAAAAAATATATATAAAAAGATTGGAAAAAATTTACATATGTAATGTATTTAAACTTAGGTATCTAAAATTTTTCGCTTTCAAAATCTTATAGACTTGTAGAATTTTCAAAAAAACCGAATTGAGGTAAGAGAACATTTCTCCTCGGACCACTGCAGCTATTCGCAAGTTATCGAAGCCTTTCCCCGCTCTCGCCTTTAATATATCTGTTCTTAGTAATTTAATATATCTGTTTCATCACTGTCCTATAAAAAATCTGCGTAAGGCGGAGTGCAGTGAATAAATTCGCAATAGCATGAGCACAGTTTCTATCCATCTTTAACAACTCAGCGAATAATTCTAAAATCTTAATATGTATATAATTTAAGTTGAAAATTCTTCATTTTTGCAACTTTGTGCAAAAAAAAAAAATATCTAACACTGCAGAAACAAAATATTGATCTAAATTTTTATAGTTGTATTATTCAAAATGAGAATTATTTTTATAAATTTTTCAAATATACTTAGTAGAAAATTTTATTTGGGGCAACACTCTTTTTTTTTTTTTGATTCTGCTTTATATTATTTAAGATTTTTTAAAAATCAAAATTTTGTTAAATTGTTTTTTTTTTTTCAAGTATTTTTCTGTTTTTATTTAAATATTGAAATAAATAAATTTTGTAAATATATTTATTCAAGAATATAAGAACAAAAAACCATTATAAAAATACAACGTAGATTGGGAGCATCGTAAATTAGGCGGAATGTCAAATAAAAATGATTATTTTGTGCAAAATTCCGAAAATTTAGAATTTTTTAGAAATTATTTTCAATTTTGTTTTTTTAATATTTATTGCACTATAACATTATATAATTAAGTATAGCCAAAAATATAATTATAACAATACCTGTTTTTTTTCTATCTGCATGTAATATAAATAATATTATTAAATTTTTTAATTAAGCAACAATATGGTTGCCAAATATAAATCAGATTCGCTGTTTTTCTTTAATAAAATAAAAAATAAAAACAAAATGTCGAGTAGTTTTTTTTTCATATTACAAAAAAAATTCGCTTTTATCAATTTAGGTTTTTTTTTTCATTTAATTTTTTATTCATTAATTTTTTATTCTGACTTCAGTGAACTAAATAATATTTATATTTTCTATATAAAAAAAAAAAACAAAACTGATGAATAAGTATGTATGTACATAAAACCGCAAAGATTAAAAAAATGAGACATGAAATTGTAATATGTATACATATATGTATGTAAAGTGTGTATAATATTAAATATGTAAAAGTTACGATCTACAACTTTCAATTGTGAAGAATAAACAACTTACAAGAATATATTCATTTATAAATTTCATACATCTTGAAATTATATTATAAACATATCGCTATAAATAAAGGTATATTACGTACATACATATAAATTTATTTGTACATATTTATACATTATATCCATAATAACGTTTAGAATTTATTTTTGGGTTTTTAGTTCTCTAAAAACAAAAAAAAACACAAAACTTATGTCTGTTTCTCTTCACAATATTAATTAAGAATACAAAAATAACTAAGCGCATATTATATTTTTATATATATATAGTTTGTTACATGTGTGACTATATGCATCTATAGATTTTATTTTAGATGAAGTGAAAAAAAAAAATAGAGGGAAAATCTAAAATTAAATATTCTACAATAAATGCTCTCTAATAATACACCTATGTTATTTAGAAAGTAATTAGAAACTCTTGAACGATTAAAATATAAAATATTAGAAAATCAATTATAAATTTACTTCCAAAATAAAGATTTATAAATATGTACATAATATGTATATAAGATTCGAAAATAACTACATATTGCATATAATTATATAATTATATGTAATAAATGTAATAAATATATTTGTTGACATAATATATGATTATAGTTTGAAAAGTAACGATATAAAATTGTAAAACATCTACATATATTCTATGGCAAGAGTTAAAACGTGTATGTATGATCAACTGATTATACTTGGATGCAGTAATCTTCAGAACTAAAATAATTTTCTTTAGATGAATTTATTTTGAATAGAAATTATATTTCCCAGCTTTAAATCAGTTGTTGCGGAATAATATTACCATTATTTTTTATAGAACTTTCTTAATTATAACTTTTTTTATATGAGCCCTGTGGCCCTTCTCACCTCGATCCATACGTTCATCTCATCTCACGGGAAATGCCGCGATTCGCGATCTAGTTATATGAGTTCTATTTCTAGACCCCTGACGAATCTCATAGATTACGTCTACCCGAAGTTGTGAAATTCCGAAAAACGTCATAAACTGGTTAACATTCTCACATTTACAAAGCACATATCTTATCGTCTTCCACGCATAGACGACACAACTCATTCTCCACTTTGCCCATCCTTTTCAGATGAACCATTAATTTATGTTAATGTAACATAAAATTTACTTGGTTGAAATCCAAATAGTTTTTATATTATTGAATTAAATCTGCCATAAGAAATAACAAATAAGCTTATAAAAAGAAAGTATATGTATGCTATAGTATTAACTAAAACAGCTTATATATTTTGAACTGTTATGCTTCAGAACTGTTTACAATTACATTTTTTCTGTGTTAACTGTTTATTCAACACAGTTTTTGGCTTCCCAAAGTTTCAATTAATAGATGAGCAGTTCCTTACTTAAATTCTTACATTAAAATTTTAAATTATTGATAAGAATTAAAAATGAAAATCTTTTTGAAGATACTTTAATGGTATTGTATGAAAAAATTAAAAGATTTTATTTAATATAAAATAAGACAAAAAGAGTGTTTTTACTTTAAGTTTTTACATTAATCATTTTAAAACAAAAAATAGTGTTATTTATTTGCATATGCACATATTTACGTTTTAAATTTCATTATTTCCATGTTTACAGGTTATGTTATCCAATTGTAACAAAAATTCCACAACAGTTTTTTTTTTTCTAAACCACACGTTGATAAATCGTATAAGATTAAAAATTATTATTTGTTATGATAGATATTATATTTGAATGCTCTTACACATAAAATATGCAATATTTATAATATAGAACAAAATAAGAACATTCTATAAACACATAAATTATGTGTTTATAATTATTATAAAATTTTGTAAATATGTCTGAGTGTTGTTTGTTGAATTTAGCAAGAGTCTATATGGCTTTAATTTTTAATAATTATATGCGGTTTTATATACAGAAAATTCTAAGAAAAGTGAAAAAATTTTATAACATCATTTGGGCTAGGAAATCAAAATTTCTCTTATCGTAGCGATTTTTGTTTAAATTATCTATCATAGTATTAAATTTTGATTAATTATCTTTTGTTCAACACTTAAAATATTGAATATTTAAAAACTATTAAAATAACTAATAATATTATGTAATTAATAAACTAAAAATGAGTTGGAAACGTGAAATGAAATGAAATAAAACGAAGGTAATTTGAACGAATGCTGTTTCAAATATTACGGTGCTACCGCAATTGTAATTTAATTTTCATAGATCTGAGCTTATTGAAAAAACTCCAACTTAATTGAAAAAATTTAATTGAAATTTTTGGTGCATCCAGGAAAACAGGAATATTACTTAAGCATATTTATTAATTCAAACAATGCAATCCAGAATATTTTAGCAAAACTGCTATGAGTTATTATGCTACAAATAAAATTTTATAAGTTTTTAAAAATGATACACTACTGTATTTACAAAGTACATAAATAAACGAAAAAATTTTTACTTATACATTTATGTATAAGTTTTAATTATATGTATGTATGTATTGTAAGAAAAGAGAATTCTTTGCCACGTCACGTATTCAAATTTAAGTTAAAAAAGAAAGAAGTTTAAGGGAAACAAACACATACCAACATATACATACATATATACATAATAATAAAATAAAATAGAATTTTATATTTTTTCCAACATTAAAATTTAATTTAGAAATATAATTTCAAAATCTCCAACAGTGATTGATCTGTATTTTACAATATATTTCTAAATTTATTACCTTGAAAATTAAAAATTTTATTTAGTTTTAAATTATATGGTTATTATTAGATTAATAAAATTTTGTTGATATTTTGTAAATTTTATAGATTTGAAAATAAGGTCACGTAATAATTTCCTGTAGTATCTTATTATTTAAATAATATTGTTGTTCAAATTATTTAAAATTCAATAATTTACAATTTGAACAGTATTGTAGTTAATCAATTTTTATTTTATTAATCCAATATTATTAAATTTCGTCAAATTTTTAATAAATGTTTTTTGCTTTTATTACAGTGTCAGCCCCGGTCAATTGCAAGACATGACAACAGAGAACCATTGTAAGTTGAATTCTGTAATGTTTCAGTCAAATGAATTTTGAAGATTAAATTTTTATGAGTCTTTTTGAATATATATATATGTATATATATGTATGTAATTTTTAAAATTTGAATATTATATGTATTACATTTTTCAATTTAAGTTTCATTTGGATCTCGTTCACCATTTTTTACTAATCAAAACAATGGATCAACATCACCAAGTCAAGGTAGATCTGTACGTGAATTTGAAGAACAGATGGCTACTTTAAGAAAAGAAAATTTCAATTTAAAATTAAGAATATATTTTCTTGAAGAAAAAATTCCGGGATTAAGTCAAATGAATACACCCGAAGGACAAGAATCATTAATGAAACAATATATCGATAATAAGGTAATAAATAAAATAAGTATATACATATATGTTTATACAACAATCCCAGATAAAATTGTATGAAAATCATTTAAAAGACCTACCTTAAATTTTCTTGCAAGTCTACTTGCTTCTTTTGAGTTTAATTATGTATATTTACACATTATGTGTAGTTTCCATTAACGCTCTACTTATTTTTTCCATCTAAGATATTGTGTATTATGTACTTAAAATAGTAAATCAATAATTTGATTAATAGACTATGACGAAAATTTATCTGTAGTGCCAAATTAAAAATACAAAATACGTAAAACATAATTTTTAAATTTGATTTTTATATTTCCGGTAATTTTGTTTTTTATATTTTTTAGGTGGATACGGAAATGTTAAGAAAAGATCTTGAAGAAAAACAACAATTATTAAAGGAAGCTGCTGATGCTTTAACACATATGGAAAATATACAAAAGGAAACTGAAATGAAAAATCAACAAATTATTGATGAACTTAACCAAAGAATACAAATATTAGAATTGGAAGATCAATCAGCTAATCATTTTCTAAACAATGATGAAACCATTATGAATGATTTAATGGGTCGAACTAATTTAGATGGAGATAATATTGATATGATTCAAAAAGTATTTTTGCAAGAATCAATATAATTTTGAATAACAGATTAAAATGAACAACATATTATTATTTTAGGTTCGTGAACTTGAAGGATCCATAAAAGTTGCTGATGATAAAATTAAAGAGCTAACGATTCATTTAAAAGAACTAGAAGAAACAGTAGCTGAAAGAGATAAAACAATTGAGCGTTTAGAAACTAGTCGTAAGGAATTGAATTTTCAAAATTTGGAATTAAAAGAGGTTTTAGATTCAAAACAACAAATAAATGTAAAAATTACATATGTGTATACTATCCTATACATATGCATGTAACCGTTTTTGTTTTTAAAATATGTGTTCTTATTCATATAGGTTCTCAAAATTCGTGGTGATTTAGATAGATGCAGATCTCAGCTTGCTGATAAGATGTGTGAAGTTGATGAATTGCAAGAAAAACTTAATGAGAAAAATTTAGCTTATGAGAAAGCTGTTGTGAATATTGAAAAACTTGTTCACACTATAAAATCCTTAAAAAGTGAAATTGAGCAATTAAGAAAGGTATATAAAATATGACTATGTACTCATTAAAAATCAGAACACTTATTTATATTTATGTTTTTTCAATGTTCAGCCGTCATCATTCAAAATATCAGTAAATAAAGAGGTAAGAGTTTGTGTTTTACTATCAAATACGGGTATTGTATCTAGTTATACGTACATGGGTATACAGTAGCATTTATATATGGATATAGATAAATAATAATTATATTTTTTTAAGTATAAATTGGTGTTTTTTTTTAGCTCTTATCTTCTATGAACAAATCTTTAAGTGACTCGGAATGCTTTTATTTTAAAGACAGTTTGGATGAATCATGGGCTAAAAAATTGGTACAAATTTTCATTTCATTTAAATGCTTTTTTTTTTATAAATTTTGCAAAAAACTTTCTTTTTTATTATTTTGTTCGTTTTTTTAGATTTTAAATGATCCCACCAAAAATAGTACTGAAAAAATTGAAAATATTGATTCGATTGTATTGGACGATGAGTTTAAATTGCCTAGTAGTTTATCGGAATCAGAAATAAGTAAAGGAAATTTATCAAATCAAGAGTTAACGGCCATTGAAGATGATCTAAAAATATTCAAATCCAATTCCTTTATTTCAAAACTACAAGCTGAAATCAAAGAAGCCAAAGAGGATGCTGACAAAGCTAATAAATGGCGAAGAGAATGTTCTGATGTTTGTGTAATTTTAACAGCTCGGCTAGAAGAATTAGCAGGTTTTCTTGATTCTTTACTGAAACATAAAGAAATATTAAATGCTGTTGCATCAGAGCGGCGTCGTGCCATGAGAAAAGCTGTTGATAAATCTTTAGATTTATCAAGAAGTTTAACAGCAGTTACACTTCCTGGACTTTCTTTAAACAATAGTAGTCTTGCCAATATAAGTAATATAACCAATATATTGGATAATACTGGAAATTTGCAAAATAACAATGCATTACTAAATTCAACACAAATCAATGATGAAATTATCAGCAGATTAAAATCAGAAGCAAATGGATTGAAACATGAATTAGAGAAAAATACGCAAACAACATCAAAAGAAATAAATAAAAAGGAACGTCGAAGTATATTATCTTCATATCACTTAGATCAATCAGAATCAGAGACATGGTCTGAACCAGATCGTAACGTTTCGTTAGCTCGTATTGGCTTGGAGGAGTCACTAAATACTTTATCTAAAGCAAAGAAACTAATTAATAGAGATGAGCCAGCTTCAGAAACTTCTATTAATAAAACAAGAAGTAGTAGCAGTACAGAAAATAATGATTTGGGGAGAAAATCTAAGTCAAATATTAAGGACAGAATTTCTCAATATGAACAGCTTATATTAATGAAAGACAATAAGATACTTGAAATACAATGTGAATTACTTGAGGCTGATAACCGTTTGAAAAAAGAATCTTTAAAACTAGCCGAAACTAACCAAAAATTGAACGAGTACCGCATTAATAATGAAATAATGGAAGTGGAGCTTACTTCTTTAAAAAATCAAGCTCTAAGTTTAAATATTCTAAAAACAAATGAAGAAAATCTTCGATTGGAATTACAAAACAAAACCGCACAGTTGAATAAAATTCAGGATGAACGTAATCAATTGACTATTGAAGTCCGAGTGGCTGAAACACATATAGAAAATCTTAAAGCTGAAATAAACAATCTTAAACAACAACATGAAAAACACATACAATCTTTACAAAATAGTGAAAAAGAACGTCTTACTCAAATGCATAAACAACTTCAAGACCTTTTAAAGGAAAACCTTAAGGAATTAGAACTAAAACATCAGGAAGCCATCGAACGTGATTGGATTTCAAGACAAGTATACAATGACGCAAAAAAAGAAATTGATAAACTTGAAAAAAAATTGACCGAATCTGAGAATACAATTGAATATTTAAATGAAAATGAAATAGAGTTAAAAAATCATTTAATTGAAAATGAAAAATCAGTCAGAGCAATGCGGAAAACCTTAGATGAAACAACACTTTCAGTTTCAAAAGCAATATTAGAGCGAACAAAAGCTATAAATGAAAAATTGAAATTTGAAGCCAAAGTTCAGGAATTAACAAATGAACTCGAATCAGTTTTAAAAGAAAAAAATATTTTAGAAGATAAACTTAGAGTTGTTAACAATCATTGCGGTTACACTTCGGAAGAAATTAATGTAATTGCACGAAGTGGTGAACCTCAAGGGAATCAAAGATTAGAAAATTCTTCTCCGGATTTAGGAATAGACAGTGATACTGGCAGACAATCTAATGCCGAGGAAAAAGAAACATCGCCAGAAAATGAAGAAACTGAATTGATAGTTGAAGGTAATACTAAAATATTTTGTATAATTTGGTATATTTAACATTTTTCTCTTTTTAGATAACGTAAATAATAATAATAGAAATCAACAATCAATATCTTTATCACAAATATTAACAATACCAAGTGACCATGATTGTTCGCAGGTATATAAAGAAAATTTTGATTTGAAAGCCAAATTAAAGCGCACGATTCGTCAATATGAAGAAACACTAAAACGTTTACGCACAGCAAATCAATTAAAAGAGCAAGTTGAACGAGATATTCGTCAACAATTGCACAAAACTAACGTTGTACTAAAAAATGTTCGTACCAATATTGAAACAAATTTAGAAAATATTCATAAAAAAAATCAATAGCTAAAAAAGAAAATTAGGAAATAAACAATGGTTTAATTTTTATATTATATATCTATGTATTAAAAAAAATATGTACATATATACCTAGGTGTATTAAAATGAGATCTTATGAAATGACACATATTTTAAAAAAAAATTAAGTATATTTTAATATAATATCAAGTTATCGCACGAAATTAAACGAACCTATAAAATTGATGTAACGAAAACGAATTATATAAATTAACGTGAATTCAATATTATATTTAAATAATACTCTGAAATGCTCAGAATCAAGCTACATATTGTATGTATTAATAGAGAAGTAAAGAGCATGTCTTCCTTTTGCTTTAATGAAAATGAAATTTAAAAAGTAAAATGGCTATATGTATGTTAATAATATGATATAATGACTGTTTTTAAAATCGAAAATGCCAAAATAAAATTAGGGATATGATGCCAAAGATATTTAAAATTGATATTTATTATTCTAAAAAAAGCAAATGAAAGTAAAAAAGGTTATGTAGATATATATATATGTACCAAAAAATTGTTATATTTTTATGTAAAAGAAAAAATCAACCAAAAACTTGAACAAAAATTATTAATGAACCAATATTATCAACAAATACTAAATATTATGATATATATTTCGGTTTTTCCAATAATATAACAAAGAAGCAAATTTCCTTTTAAAGACTTCTTCTTAAATTTTTATATTAAATCTAATAAATTACATTTGAATAGTTATTTGTAATATTTATATTTTTAAAATTGTTTAAATTGTTTGTAAATTTTCATTACAAACTTTTAATTATTAAAATAAAGACTGAATCAAAAACATGTCATTTCATCGAATATATTTTTTAAATGTTTGAACATTAAATAAATCATAATGTATTTGTATATAGTAAATGTTAAATGAAAAAAAAAAAATTATTAAAAATTACAGTGAAAAAAAATTATACATAATTCAACCTTGTGTTAACATTAATTTGGTGTTCAAATAATCCTTCTAATATTAACCAAAAAAATTAATTATGTTCCCCTTTCGAATAAAATATTAATACAAAAAAAAAAAATATAGTATGTATGTATGTAAATTTTATATAAATATTTTTGTGACTAAAATATCTAAAAAAGACTTCTTATATAATATAATAAACGAAAATCATTCATATTGAATGTAATAATATTAATTTTTTTTTCCATAAAATGTAATTAATTTTTAACATGTAAGAAAACATTTATAAAACTAACGAACTAATAAATTAACGAAATTTATTTATATTAACGCATTCGAAATTTGAATTAGAGAAAAAGTTTTTTTTTTTTTATTAAATTTAGTTACATTTAATTTGCTTTTTTAGCTTATTTTATAAATTCCTCCTTAAGTAGAAAATTTAAAAATAAATCTTTATATATACTCCGAGTGTGCCTTTTCACGGTTGAATAATTTTATTTTTAATTAATTCAAAGAAATAATCCATCTTCTTGTTCGTCTTTGAATTCCTTCTCTTTATGAATAAATACCAATCCGGTTATTGGCTCTATGTTTCCATTTAAGTTTTCGGATTCCATAATTCCGAGAAGCTCTTTTCCAAGAAAGGTTGCTTTTGCGTATGCTAATATCTGCACATTCAATACATTCCCTGGAATGGTGATTTCCAGGAGCATTCTAGCATTTAATCATCTGGTGTCACTTAGAAGTAAACATACAGCATAACAAAAGAAAGGATTGATTTACTTTTGCTGAATAAGAAGATTTTTTAGATCAATCATGTACGGTAAATAAAAGTTAATTTTATACATTTTTTCTTGTTCATTGAAGATTCTTTTCGCATTATTGGCAAGTTTCGAAGTGAATATCCGATCCTTAATATCAGTCGATCATCTGGTAAAGTTTAAAAATTTTTGTAAATATTGGCATGCTTCTAGCGCGGCAAAATCGCTAAATCTAGAAATGATTGTTCCAAGCTTTAAATCCGCTCAATCATTCTGCAAAAACTTGTTAAAGAACATATTAACTGCTGCAAGTGCTTTATTGAAGTCAGGATTATGTAACCATGACTGATATGTGTTGTAGATGGATTCTAGATTAAAAGTGACATTTTGAGGCTTGTTTGAAAAAGATCTTAGTTTAACTCTAATTTTTTGAATGAGCTATGTAAGGATTTACGTAATCAACGGCTTTCCCCATTTTTACGCATAAGAGATGCAATCAATGTTCAATTTCTCTTGTGGTCACCTATTTACATATGCTTGAATGATTCTCACTAAGTATCTGTTTTTCTTCTTTGTTGTTACAAAACTATAATCACTATAATAGTTTGAGGGTATATTAAAGCTCTTGGTGTGGCGCTTTTCAAGCTTTTCATTTTGATAGATGAGCCCGAATACAAATAAGACTAAAATTAAATAGATTTGAAGTAATTTCTTTTGACAAATAAATGTCTTAAAATTTTTTTATAATTTTTTGAAAGGTAAAAATTTTTGTGTTTTGTTTTTATTTTGTATTATCAACAAATTATCTAATATTACTAATAAATCACTCTATGCTAGGTTGTATTCTGTTTGTTTTTTTTGTATAACTATAAACATGTTTTAATTTTCTTTTTCTAAATTTTTTTAATTAATTTGACCACCTTCAATTTATCTTCATTTTTACTTTATTATTTTTTATATAATCTTAATTTTAATTATGTATTTTTATTCTAAATTTTCTACAGATAAAATAATTAGATTTTAGTGGGTAATTAAAACACACAAAGAAATAAAGAAATAATTCATTTATATATTTACGTTTCTTTGGTTTATTTTGAAATGTTTTTCTTAACTTATGTATTGTAAATATAAAGTCGTGTAAAAAATTTAATAAAATTTATTAAAAATTTTAATAAGCATTTATTTTACTTTGCTAAATTTATAAGTGAGTATAATTTATATGAATACAATAATGTACCCCCTTATAAGAATTGAGATATACTGCCGAATAAAGTTCAAGTTAAATTATTGATAGTTCTTAGAGTTGAATTAGATTTACATTGTGGTCATTAGGAAATAAAGGGTTTTTTTTTAAATTTTGAAATAACATACGCATGTACTCAAATCAAGTGGGGGGGGGGGGGGCACAAAATCATGAAGAGGATGACAACTTGCTTACCAAAATACGAAATAAAAGTGGATTCTGACTTTAGAAAAGAATTTCGTTCACTAAAATACTTAAATATGATGGCAAAAATTGCATTTTGGTATAGACGTTCTTAAACTTAATGATGCAAAAACTTTTTTTAAAAAAATTGCAGGGAGTTATGTACGTACATACATACAGAGCTAGAACATATTATTCACTTCTATTTTTTATGCAATAATAAGTTTACAATACTGTAATATCATCTCAATAAATTTTATAAATTACAATTTGTTTGTAACTTTCGAACTTACAAAAATTACATACTAATTTTTAAGTATACATGTATGTACGTATATTTAGTTTTTTTGCGGTAAAATTTTCTTCTAATAGTCTCACTTTTCTAACTTTAAGGCTATTTAATCACTATTATTATTACAATTCCTTAAAGGATAATAAAAATAATTTATTTATTATATTCGATTATGACGTGTACATTTGCAACATTATGTGCATATATATATAGATTGCTAGGTGATTTCTTAATAATAATGTGATTTCTTTTTTAATATGTAAGAAACTATGAAACATGAGGTGAGTATTAGACAATATTTTTATGAATGTATGTACATATGTTGCTATGTCTATGGGATTCTAAAATAGTATTTAGAGTGCCACTAATGACCATGTGCGTCCAAGTAATTATTAGAACCATGTTTTTTAATATCATTATTAATTAATAATTACTATTTTTTTTTTTGTGTTTAAAAAAGTGTTTTAATTATAAATTAATTTTAAAATTTTATATACCTACTGAAATTTTAAAATGTTTATTTCAGTTTTTATACACTTATTTTTTTAACTATTTTTAGTTGAAATTAAATTATTCCTGTTTAGTAAGGACTGGTACAAGTTATTTTAATTACTTTAAATTTCAATTGTAATAATGGTTTCTATACATGTGTTCTAATAAAAAGAACATATAGAAAATAAATAATATTAATTGACAATAATAATTTTAAAAAAACATGTTAGTGTAGCACACGAATTTAAATAATATTTTTGAATTAATTGTGGAGTTTACGCCTTATATACACCCGTACAATAGGGTATTTGCAAAGAAAAAAAATTGAGGAAATTACTTTAGACTTAACCCAATACTAAATTAAAATAACCCGGTACTTAATAATAACCCTTATACAAAAACCATGTACTATACTCGTATTTAGGTACGTATAAAGTATAAAGCTTTCTAATAAGTATTTAGATACTCAACTAAAACGAATGGTCGGTACTTTATTTTTTTCAATTCTGATTGACTTATAATGTATAGTATACAATGGACTAGTACGAATACACTACATTAGATTTATATTAAAACAATCAATTTTATATTTTACAATAATTATGAAATTATACTTGCAATTCCTATCTCTATAATTAAATCGATATTTGATTTAAGAAATCAACTATCACATTATAATTCACTATTTTAATATTAATGTTACAGTCATAGTTGTTTTGTTAAAAATTCTATCTACACAAATATATATGTATGTATATGTAAATGTTTGTGTGTACGTATGCATACAAAATGAATGCAATAAAGAAAGGACCTTGTTTTATTATTTATAAACAAAATATACTTATTTGATATATTAACATTTCTCAAATATTATAGCGGGGGTAAAGTTAAAGTTAAATATTATTACTTGCGCTTGTTATTCGATTGTCGGTCAAATCATTTGTAATCAGTGGGTGTTAATATATTAATGATTGAACATTAAAATATTTATTCACCTGAAATATAGAAATTTATTTAAATTATGATTACAACTACAACCAATAATTATGTATAAAAATAGTCATTTTTTATTTACGTGATATAGAAAATTATGAATGCCTTTCAGTTCAAATAAAACCAACAAATCTTACTTTTCTATAATTTTTTCTTTTAAAATGATTAAAAGAATTATGTAAAATATTTTTATATAAGTTAAAGAGGTTTTTTAAATTAGAATTTAATTGTTGTTAATGTTAATAAAACTGAAATGTGTTGCAAGGATATACGAAAATGGTACTGTTTCCTGTTTAGGTTAGTACCTACATATATTTATATTTATAAGTAGATAAATCTGTTAAAGGGCTAAAATAAGAGATTAGAAATAAGTTGATTAGAGTTAAATAAAAATTTATAAGAATGTCGATAGCAAGATTTGAAATTGTAAGGATTTTTCCTTATTGTTATCTTAAACAGAATTAAGAATTTGAAAAAATACTTATTTTATATGTAATAATATTTTTTTCGACTTTTACTTTTTTATAGGCGTTTAAGAATACACAAAATAGTTGAGTTGGTTTTATATGCTTTAAATCCTAATAAAATACAGTTTAAAAGAATTATGTATAAATTACTACATGTATTTGAATAACGTTTTCTTTTATTAAGCATTATATATGTACGTATGTAGATAATATTTACCTAGTAAACAATATTTAAATATTATTATTTACTAAAAATATAACAAATTACATAATAATAATAGTCCTATAGATAATATTTACAAAATACTTACATAAGTATGTGAAAAATTATTTAATCGAGTGAAATCTTGAATTTAGTAAATTTAGTGAAAGACTATCCCCTTTAAATCATGTTAGTATGTATGTTTGCAAAAGTTTTAAGTTGTGCTTTAAATTTAATAATTTGATAATTTTTCAGATTTCAAACATTTTTAATCAGTTATTAATGTTAAATTTAAACAATGTTCTTGATTAAAATTTATAACAAAATTTTGTTTATTTATTTGTAAGCAGGGCTGAGAAAAATGTGTTCTTATTTCAATTTATTAAGTCATCTCAAGTTTATTTGCAAAGTTAAATTTAAAATACGTTTTGCCATGAACTAATGCATGTATAGTGGCAACGGTGGATGATTTCCTTTTAAAATAGGAATTTAAGCAAACTTACCGCTATTAGTCTCATTTGTGTATATTTCTGTATTCTATATGAATTTTGACATTTTGCCAAGAAAAATCATTCTTGTTCTGCTTTTAACTTAAAATCGCATGGGTTATGTTTTTACAGTTACAGTTATAGAACTGCATTTTTTTTATTTGTATGACTTCTAAGCTCTCAAATTATGAATATGAAAAAAAAAATCTGTTTTTTTTTTTTTTGGTTTGAATTTCATTTAAAAATTTTTTGTAGAAATCTACTTATATAATCGTAATTTTTTTATTGAATTTTAAAGAAAAATAATTCATTTTGAAAGCAAAAATATTAAATTTTCACTAAAATCTAAACAATGTTGATATTCAATTCCTAAGTTACTAAAAAAATCAGTCAAATTAACTTTTCATGTATATTCACCTTTATATTACTATAATTGTGGAATAATATTTATTTTTGAAACTAGGGGCGTAAGATCGCATAAAATGTTTTTACTTGTATTTTGAAGTTCTGTTCTTATCAGTGACATATCTGTCATTGGTTGTTATTATTTTTTTCTGACCGCGATACTAAATTCTGATTTTTGACTGTCGTTATTTAATATTTGTTTACATATTAATTACTTAAGCATTTTGGAATTTCTCTTTACAGAAATCCTCATTTAATTTTTTTGTTTTTCATATAAAAGTATTTTTCTTCAGATATATTATTAATAATGGATTTTGAAATTTTACGGTTTTGTTTGCATGATGGTAATTGAGCTATTTGATGAACTAGGTATGTATGAATGTATGTATGTACATACAAGCAAATATTTTCATAGAAGCTCTTTGATATATTTATAGAATTATGATTAAAATTTATAAGCTAAAATAAATGATGATTAATTTTCAAAGACGAGATTATTTTAATTTGAAAGCTTTAATATACAAGTGATGATATTCGAAAGGGTAATTCACCCTAGATTTTTTTAAAGCTCATCAAACTTTACTCAATAAAATCAATGTTTCCAATCAATAACATAACAATCAAATATTCAAATATGAAATATGAGATTTAAGACAAAATAATAAATTATAACAGAGAATTTTTTGTTTTATCTAAAGTTTTTTTTTTCCAATTTCACATTAGGTATAAATAATTTCGATTCATTAAGTAATGTAGATTATAATTTTCTTTCAATTTACATAAGTATGTGCTGGGGTCTCTAAAGGATACTGAATAGATTCGCTGTGTCTTTGCTATTTAATGAAATTTTTTTTTTATTTATTTATTCCAATATGATTTTGAAAAAGTATCTATGTACCTATTTTATTATATTTTACATCCTTAGTTTTTCATGGTATAACAGAATCTCAACAAAATCTCTGTATTTGTAAGTATCAGGTTGTTAATTTACATTCTATTTACTATAAATGCACTTTTAAAGGGCTAATGATCCTATACAATTTTTTTAAAGAGATATACTTATCTACAGAACATAGTAATTGAAAAAAAGCTATGAAAATATTACCTATTTATTCAGGATCAAAGACATAAGCCTCGTATAATGGTTCGAATATAGTAGTTAAATTACTCGGTATATGGAATTGTTCATTTCTATGTTAAAATTTTTTATACGTTCTTATAAACGTGAAATAAACTTTATAATATGTAATTATTTATATTAATTTTTTTTTCATTAAGATTTTTATTAAATCAATTTTTATAAATGATAAATATTAATATAAAAAAAAAATTATTGAAAGGTAGTTTCGCAGGGCAAAAAACTTTTATTCTAATATAAAAACATGTTATTTAGTTTAATGATTTTTTATAGAATGGTCAGTAAGTTTCAAAGATTCATACTGCAAACATTTTTTTTTAAATGTCCAAAGAAAGAAAGTGATAAACAATTATTAAATCAAATTCAATAATTATAATTCATAAATTATCTTCAATTATTTTTCTTTGAAGACAAAATGTAAGTGTAAAGATTATTAAATTTTTTGTTAAGTTATACATGTATATTTATAATTTATATTTATAACATATTAATATCGTAAGTTTTAAGTTAAAAAAGAAATTAAATTGAAAATCGAGTACGTATTATAAATGTAAAGTCTAATATTATTTTTATATATATAAAACATTTTTATGGTTAAAAGTGCATAAATGACAATATTTTGAAAATAAAAGAAAAGGGAAAGTCACAATTTAAAACAAAAAAAAAAACCGTACAAAAAATTTTTTTTTTTCTCTCTCTTAAGTGAACCTTGAAACAGTATATATTTGCCCTCTATTCTACTTTTATTATCTTATTGAAGTATCAGAATACTATCAATCGACTTAAGTCTGAACGAAAGAAAAAATACCACCCCCTAGTTTATGCATTTTTGTAAATATTTATCATGCATTTATAAAATTTAGCAAAAAAAAAAAATGTGATACAATGCAAAATTCTGTCCTACTGTTAAATTATATTTCATGTAATTATAAAAATTTATTATTTAGTTTTATTTCTTAAACAATTCAAAAAAATTTTATAATAAACAATTTAAAATATTTATTTAATTATGTACGAGTACAAATAATTATAATTTTTTATGAAAAAGTATAATTAATATAAATTGATTGTATGATTTCAGTTCATATTTAGTTTGTTGCATTACAAAAAATTTTAAATTATATTTGTTCTGTCCTTTTACTTTAGCACATTTTTTTTTTTCATTTAAATAGCAAAAGAAAGTAGAAAAAAAAATGTAAAATAAATATTGTATAGCATTCCAATAACATTTTTAGCCATTGAAAAAAAAAACAACCCTTTTCAGTTAGTTTTGCATTTTAATTCATTATAAAGTTTATTTTTAAAGAACATGAAATTATTTCGCACAATTCAAAAAAAAAAATACTTGAAAATTTTTAAATAAAATAAAATTTTTTAAATAATTTTAATAGCTGTCATTAATTATATTTTTATTTGTTTAAAAAATTAAATATTGAAAAAATTTTAATTGAATTCATTTTATTTTATTGTTTGGAAAAGGAAATACATAAAAAAAAAACAATATTTAAATATTTTTAAAAGAAATAATTGAAAATGTTGCATTATTGGAATGCGATTAATTAAATTTAAAAAGTTTTTCATTGGTAAGATTAAATAAATAAATGTTTTGTTTAAAATTATTCTATTGTAATAATATTTATTTAAATTGTAAATTAATTAAATTAATTATAATTACATTTACATATGTATGTATACATGTAATATTTTAATATATGTATGTACGTAAGGATTTTAATTTTTTAAAGTTTTTTAAGCTAAAAATTGGGTATGTTCCTTTTAAGAATTTAATGTGCCTTCCTTAAAATACATTGTGGAAATAAGACTTTTCTTCAATTTTAAATGATATTTAAATTTTATAATAATAGTTATACATATTTATAACAGTATTACATGGTTATTGTGAAACAAATTTTTTAATTAATAATTATATTTTTCTATCTACATATTTTATTTCAAATGAATTTTAACTGCTATTAAATTATTAATTATTAATATTTTAATAAAAATTTACATATATTAAATATATATTAAAAAACATATTATAAAAAAAATTAAGTATATAACTAGAAGAATATAAATTACATATAAATATAACCAAAAAAAAAATATAAATTAAATATAAATATAAAAGAACAATATAAATTAAAATTTTTAATTTTATTAAAAAAAAATAAAAAATCGCCTGTATTTTTTTAAATTAAAATTATATTATAATTAACAATATTCGAACTACATATGTTATATAATTTATTCATTTTGATTTCAAAATTTATAAAGTACAAAATGCATAAATCTAACTTTTTCTTCTTAAGGCCAATGCATAATATATATACATAATATGTATTGGCCTTTACATTTTTATGAACGTTTTTAAACAAAATTACAAAAATTTTATAATATTTTTTTACATTCCATAAAAAGAAAAAAATGCATTTCTTTTTTATCTTTCCTTCCTTTCTTTATTCCGTCCCACGGAAAATACTATACTTTGTAATAAAAATAAAAAACATCCCCTAAAAATAAAAAAAAATAAAAAAATACTTCATTAAGGTCATCATTCAATAAGTCTCTTTATAGCAAAAGAATACAATAAATAAATAAAAAAAAAATATAAAGAAAAATAAAAAATAATAAAAAAAACAACTTATGAATGAAAGAAAATTGAAAGTTGTAGTAAAAAAAATATTTAAAAAAAAACCAACCAAAAAAAACAACGTACTGAGTACCCAATAATAAATGGCTTCTTGTAAACTGTTATATTGCTGTTATTTTGTTTCTTTTATTTTATTTTAAAAATGAAATTATAGTAAAGAATTGTGTATACAAGTAAACAAAATATGGGTATAATGAAAATTTGTATGTAATTCAATGCTAATTAATTGTGTCAACGAGATAATCTTAGTATTAGAAATCGAAACTTGTATTTGTACTTATCATAAATGTAAATACAACAACAACAAAAAAAAAAACAAAAGTAAAAAATAATCAAATATTCATAAAATGCGTTTTTTTTACAAAAAAGTATATAATTTTTTAATTATTTTTTTTGTTTTTTAGTATTTAGCAATATAATTGTAATAAAGTGCGTGGTATGAGTTGTGGTATGATTTAAAATTTTCAAACAATTTTTTTTTTCATTTAATAATTTTCATTTTAGTTTATTTCGAATTTACATACGAAATTATAATACAAGTTTATTTTTAATTGTTTTTATTTTAAATTGAAAAAAAAAATTGGTGTGTAAAAATATTAATTATTTTCTTTTTTGTAATACGTGTACATATTTTGTAATAAATACGAGTTTAAAAATTTTATCAATTAGTATAAGAGGGCGTACATCAATTGTATGTCAATTGTATCATATATGTAAATTTAATAATAAAAATAATTAAGTTGGTAAATAATTTTTAAATAAAAAAATAAAAAAAATAAAACATATGTGTAATGGGAACATTAAATAAAATAAATTTCTAAATATTTAATCACAAACATTTATTAATTTTCTTCTTTTCTTTATATAATTTTAATTTACGTTTAATAAGGATTAATTATTAATTTATTATATTTACATATATAACACAAAAAATAGTATTAAAAAATAAATAAAATTTTGTTTGTTATTATTTTTCTTTACCGTAATTTACAATATATAAATATATAATTATATATTATATATATATATATATATATATATTATTTAATATTATATATATGTGATTAAAAGCAATACTCAATCATTATTTACTTTAGTACATATTGAATGTAATGAAAGATTCAAAAATTGAGAACGAAATTAAGATAGTGCATTTTTTATTTGTACTTATGTATAAAATGAAAATTTATTATTGAATATTGAACAATAAAAACTAAAATAGAAATAATTTAATAGATTCAATAGAATTAATTTATTATTTAAGATTTTAAATGTATTAGTTGTACTAGATGTAAGAACTTTAAATAATACCAGGTTCTCTAAATAGAAAAAAAAAATTTTTGTTAGAATAAATATTTTGAAAAACGAATAAGTAGAGTATTGATATTGGTATATTAAAACTTAAAAAGAAATTTCATACGAACTTTCAAAATTATAGTGACCGGTCATATTTGTGGATAAATCAAGTGAGCTTTTTGTTAAATGTGAATATGTCTACACATATACATATGTTTGTAGATTTGATCATTTATAAAAATTGGTATAAAATTAACATTTTTTTTTACAATAAACTTGATGGAACAAGTTAAACTCTCAGTTAGAATGAAATATTTGGGATTGAAAAAACAATGGACAATTATAAATTATTATTTGAAAGAGATATCTTTAATACAGTATTACTTTTGTAACCTTTACTTTTTGATTATTAAATACTCAGCCCTTTAAAGATACTAATTTAAAGCAAATATTATTTCTTGTGTCATAGTTAACAGTTAAGCGTATTTTTCAAAATTAATTTCTGATACCTAAAGAATTTTTGTTTTTATTACAAAATTTAAAATATTTTTAATTATTTTATAAGAAGTACCCTACTCAATTTTCAACAAGTCGGTTTGTATATTTTGAATGTGACTTATCTAATAACAGGCGGTAATAAGTCACAAATAAATATTGTTTTTGTGCTCTTCAATAACCAACTCGAAATTATTATTAAATTACAGATTAAAAATTAGAACACTTCGATAATAAATTTTAAAGAAAATTCAATTAAATAGCACATCAATTTGTAAAATTGTATTTCACACACACAGCAAGTGTCTCTTATTGTTTTCGTTTAGATACGATTATAAAAATAAAATTACGCTGTTTTACCTAGATTACAAAACAAGAAAAAAAAAGGTAAAATAAATATGTAAATAAAAAATATGTATGTACAATGTTGCAAATGAAAAGAAGGAAGGTGGGTAAAACCGTTGTTGTCTTATCAATTTTAATTTCGAAATATATAGACAAATCACGAAAAAAAATTTATTTTTTTTTTATGATTTTATGTAGATAATTTGCAAGATATTATACCTACTTAAATATAAAAAAAATAAAATTTCTTCAGTTTTAATTTCAATCCTTTCAACGCATAAGGTGCATTCAAAAATTATAGGGTAAAATAATAATTTTAAAATTTATGTCTTATCTTGTCTTCTATTCATAATTTTCATTTAAAAAAATATATTATGGAGTTCTTACTGATTTGAATTTGATTTTTAAAAATAAAAATATTTATTTCGTTCCAAAATTGAAATGTCAACATTTTTTTTATACAAATAATATTTAATTTTAATAAATTAAATAATATAAATTGATTAAATTATAATTTTAATATAAATATTTTAGCATTTTCGATAATTACTATGGGTGTTATCGGTTATCTTGTGCTAGTTGTTCTTTCTACATTAATTTTCAACATGGATGAAGCAAATGCAAAAGGTTTACTTTATCCACAAGAATCAGAAACAAGAGAATTAAGATCTTTAGATGGAATATGGAATTTTGTTAAATGTGATTCAAAAACATATTCACAAGGTGTAATAGATGGATGGTATTTAAAAGATTTAAGTGAAGTAAGATTTATTAGATTTTATTTAAATATGAATAATTAATAAACACTATTATTTAATATAACACAATATTTTTAAGGTTAAAAAGACTATACCTATGCCTGTTCCTGCAAGTTATAATGACATAACAACAGATGCTTCACTTAGAGATCATGTTGGATCAGTTTGGTATGACCGAAAATTTTTTATTCCAAAGCAATGGGAAAAGGATTATCGAGTAATGATACGATTTGGAAGTGTACATTATGATACAATAGTGGTAATTGATAAAATCAAACCTTATTATAAATAAATAATTCATAAATTCAAAAATTTTCAAATTATTTTTTAAATTATATATGTAAATAAAAAGATTATATTAATTTTAAATTTTAGTGGATTAATGGTAATGAGGTTGTAAAACATTCAATTGGTCATTTACCTTTTGAAGCTGAAATATCAGATGTTGTAAAATTTGGACAAGAAAATCGTATCACCGTTTTGGTAGATAATGTATTACTGGATAATACTGTACCGCAAGGAACAGTTGCAGAGGAAAATACGTAATAATTATTTGTTATTTAACATTCGAAAATAAATAAGAAATAAACAAAATTACAGGGACTTAGGATATGTTGTAACACAATCTTATACTTTCGATTTCTTTAATTATGCTGGAATTCATAGATCTGTTCATTTATATACAACACCGAAAATTTTTGTTGAAGATATAGATGTGAAAACAGAATTTGAACCAGAAAGTCGTGAAGGAAATGTTAAATTTAATGTGAAGGTTGGTGGAATAGAAACGGAAGGTTTACATGCGAGAGTAATAATAACAGGAAAAGGTGAAACAGAAGATCACTCAAGCTCTGGCTCTCTCGTTAATAGTACTTTTAGTGGAGAAATTAAAATTTTAGAAGCCAAACCATGGTGGCCTTATTTAATGGATCCCAATCCAGGATATCTTTATAAAATGACGGTAAAAATTTTCGATCCTAAAACTGGTGAAGAGAAACCGATAGATGTTTATCGTTTAAATATTGGAATAAGAACTTTAAGCTGGAATGAAACATCATTTCTAATTAATGGAAAACCAATTTATTTTAGAGGTTTTGGACGTCATGAAGATTCCGATGTACTAATTAAGTTATTTTTTTTTTATATAATAATACGTTTTATTTTTTGGTATAGATAAGAGGAAAAGGTCTTGACTATGCGTTAATAAGCCGTGATTTTAATTTACTTAAATGGGTTGGAGCAAATGCTTACAGAACTTCACATTATCCATATTCGGAAGAATCAATGCAGTTTGCGGATGAACATGGTATTATGATCATTGATGAGTGCCCAAGTGTTGACACAGTGTAATAATTAAATTATAATTTAATTTTATGATCTTAAAAAATATTAAAGAATTTTAACATAATTTTTTTTCTTTTTTAGTATTTATACAGATGTTTTACTGGAAAATCATAAAAAATCTTTGCAAGAATTGATAAGACGAGATAAAAATCATCCTAGTGCGGTAATGTGGTCGATTGCAAATGAACCACGTACGGCAGATGCTAGAGCTGACAAATACTTTATGTACCTACACACATATAAAAATTAAAATAATTGCGGAAATTTAAGTTTTAAATTTTATTTTTAGGAAAGTGGCTCAATATGTAAGAAGTTTAGATAGCACTAGACCAGTAACTGCTGCTATAGCAGTTGGTGCTGATGATGATAAGGCGGTAAATTAAAATATATGCAAGCTAATTTCATATTATAATCGCAAATATTCTTTAGGCCAAACATCTAGATATTGTAAGTTTTAATAGGTATAATGGATGGTATGCTCACGCTGGAAAATTAGATATGATTACTTCATATGTTATGAAAGAAGCAGAACATTGGCACGATTTGCATAAAAAACCAATATTAATGTCTGAATATGGTGCGGATACTGTAGAAGGATTGCATTTAGTAATAAAATTAATTTTTGAATTGAGTAAAAATTTTATAGAAAAATAAACTTATTAGCTTCCGGCATTTGTTTGGACCGAGGAATATCAAAGTGATTTATACTCAAAACATTTTAAAGCTTTTGATAAGCTGCGGCAAAAGGGGTGGTTTATAGGAGAATTTGTTTGGAATTTTGCTGATTTTAAAACTGCCCAAAGTATGACAGAAAATATCTTTTTAAATTTTTATATACTCTATAAGTTTAAATTTACTTTTTATACAAATATATTTTTGCATATTTTAGCCGTAACTCGTGTTGGTGGCAACAAAAAAGGCATATTTACTAGAAATCGTCAACCAAAGGCTGCCGCTCATTTGCTTAGAAAACGTTATTTCGCTTTAGGTCGAGAATTAGATAATTGTGATTTACCTGATGATTTATACCAATATGTATATCAAACAGCATTATATAGAGATATTAGTGATTTATAAATAAGATAATTATAGGATAGACATAAACGAAAATTAACTCTTCTGATTTTTAAAGTCAAATGCGTTTTAAACTGTTCTTATAACTAATAAAAAAACTAATATGTAAAATTTAACTAAATTTATAATTGAAGTATTAAATGTAAAAAAACCGATTAGAATTATGACCATTTGTACTAAATTTATTCAAATTTTTTAAGAATAAAAACAGTAATTGTTTTGATATTAATACCAATTATTTGTTTTCTGGTTCCACTACTTTTAAACATGCATCAGCAAATTCTATAAAGAGAGGCTCTTGCATAGCCACCTTCATTGCTTTCCAGGCGCTTGGTGCTCTATCAACTTCTAATAAATAATTTCGCAAATGAGGATTTTCAAGAAGTTTTCTAAGCTCATCACTCTTTTCTAAAAAAATCAAAAAAAAAAAATAATAATTGTAACAAAATACCTTTTACAGTACATTAACATATTAAGTAGATTATACATATTGTTATAATTGCCTTAAATTTCCCAGCAGAACATTTCAAAGTTCAAACAAAATATGTTTAATAAGATTAAAAATTTTAACTTTAAATTCATAAGCGCATATTACCTAATTTTTTTAAAAGTGCAATGTCTACCGTATCTTCAGTGGTAAAGGGCAAAATTATTCTAGGATTATCCACATTTTCTTCTGTTGATTTACTTTCTTTCACTTTGCAGTTATTTGATTCCGTATGAGACTTGTAACAACCCACAGAACAACTAAGGTTTTTTAAGAAATTAAAAAAAAATTAAGATATTTCTAATTTGCTTACTAATATTCAAAGCATTTAGGACACTTATATTTATTGGTTTCATTTCTACAAACTATACACAACATTTTATTATAAACTTTTCAAAAGTTTTAGATTAATTTTCTTTCGTCTGGGTTTGTTTATTTACTACAAAATATGATTTATGTTTTCAACTTGATATAACAAAAACATCAGTACTTCTGTCAGCCGCCGTTTTCAAACTAAAAATTTGACAGCCTGACAGATCAGATTTTTTGAGGTGAGAGTGCTGGAACAATCAAACTAAAAATCGATTTTTGTAAAAATTAATCGATTTTTGTCTTTGAAAATTGAATTATGACATATATTGCTCATTATCTAACCACACAGTTATATTACTTTGTATACACTGCACAGTTCATAAGTAAATTAAAAAAAATATATGTATGTGGAAATACGAACTTTATTATTAATTTCTGTAAATATAAAGATTTTATATATTAACTTCATTCCATAAGTACATCAGGCAGCCAAAAGTTATACGAGGTTTAAAATTTTGACTAAATTTTGATTTACGTAATAATGGTATATTTTCAAAATTAGTAGAGTATGTACTATAATAATACATTGCAAAATATAGATGGTTAGGAAATTGATATGAATAATTATGAGAGTAAGTTTTTTCAGGATGAAGATGTAGAATATAAAACATGAGAAAAGCAACTTAAGGCTAAGTAAGGAGATGAAATCTTAAATAATATAGAAGTGCGAAATTGAAAAATCTGTAGCCACCTATTAACATTTACTGACATCGGAAATGCATATATTTACAACGCCGTTAGTTATGTATTTTATATATTTAAAATACATACTTACATATACATATAAGTATGTATTTTTAAAAATAGTGTAGTCAATGTACAAGTATAAAATAAATAAAACTGCAAAAGAAAAATTAATAAGCGTGAAAGATTGGAACTTATGCGAGTTTATTTCCTGTAAATTGTTCGAATTTCTGCCTTGAGTTTTGATACTTTGAACAGACATTTCGTAAAACAAATTAAAACAGACGAGATTATCGAACTAATCGCTTACATAGCATAGAGAGTTTTTTTGAAAATAATTTTTTACATAACGATTCAAATGCATTTTTTAAGTAGCTTAGGCTTAGATCCCCTTACATACATACGTATTTAAATACGTATACGTGTTTTATAGTTTTGAAAAAACAGCTATAATTTAAATAAGATAAGCAAGAGAAACATAAATCATCAGTTAAAAATAAGTGAAAGAGGTCAAAGATTTCCAATGGCAAGCAAAAATACATAACATTTAAGTACATGCATGTATGTATTCATCGATATGTATGTCTATAAACTTTTGAAAACTTAGTTGTAATCCTAATATTACTTCTTCTAGAAGTTTTAAAGCTTTCTTATATTTTTTACTCATAATGTTGTTCTGTGTTAAATATGTGCATATTATCGTCATTTTATACATATTTCAAATACAATTTATTTACAAACAATTGCAATTATTCTAGAGCGGATAAATAAATTATTTTAATATGCAATTGTAAGTTTTTATTTTTAAAAATTATTATGTATCAAAAAATAAAAAATATACAAATTTATTTTCTAAGAAATATATCTAAGAAATGTATACGGAGCCTACAATATATTTACTTAAATATATTGAGTTAAATACTTATATTAATCAGAGTTACTAATAACTACTAACCAATATGAATATCTACATTATGAGATCATTCAAAATATTTTTTTACGACTTTTTTTGGGCAGAGTCAAATATAGTTATAATATTTTTAAGATGTAAATATATATATACATTTATGTATATAGTTAGATCGCAAAAAAATATCATTAAAAGTTTTTAGTTACAGATGAGTTCATTATTATTTTTTTCTGATTCTTTCTTTTTTCTTTTAACTGAATTAAATGTGTCATATGGTTAGAAATTTAGAATGTAGGTGAAAATATCAGGGAAATTTTTAATTTTTTTAAACGTCCAAAAAATACTCTAGGTATAGTAAACATGTATAAATTACAAATTTAAGGATCTTAAAAATATAAATAAAATATTGAAATATTAAAATTCATTCTAATTATAATATAAAAATTATATAATAATAATAATTATATAATAATAATTTTGTTCAAAAGTAAATTTCGGAAAAGATCCATTGCAAGTGTTGAAATTTTAAATTATTTCGAGCTTATATATGTACATACGTACAGACATTCATACATATAGCGTTTTAGATAACACAATTCTACCTAATTTTCATTTTAAATTCCTTAACCTAATTTTTTAGCTTAACATTTTCCGTGTTAAACGCGTAGATTTTTTTAACATGACAACTGATTAACAGTAGTACGGTATTATATTTCGCATTTATTATAACGTACATACTTATACATATCTAATATCAACTTTTGTTTATTCAGCATTCAGCAAAATACTAAATTTTTATTAATAAATTCGGCTTTAAATTAGTTTGCATTTAAATAAAATATTTTGCATGCATGCATAAATACACTGTTGAATGTATTTTCAATTTTGTATAACTAAATTCAAAGGTTACATTAAGATTTGTTATTTTTTTGTTATTTTTTAAAAATTTTAATAAATATTCATATCTATGCTTACACGAGTTCGTCTATACAAACATATAAGTATATGTACATACATATGTACGTCATATACTCTGAAATGTATTATATGCATTTGTAATATGTAAATACACAAAGGTTTGCACCGTTTGTACAAAGTAAAATAATTGCTCCAAAAAAGTCATGAAAAATATGTTTTTTTTTATATAATTTATATATGTATATGTTTGTGTATGTGTATTTTAGTGTGAATTTAAATCACTCCTAATAAAAGTTTTAAGAAATATTTAATTCAATCCCTCGCGAATTCATTAATTGAAAAGAAATCACTCAATATATGTATGTAATTTATTTTTATAAAATTGTTTGTATTATTTATAATACATGTAGTATGTATCACATATTTATACATAATATGTACATACAAATATAAACATATAACTATATATGGATATATCATATAAATTATGTTTTCAATATATGCAAAATATTTCATAGCGATTGTATTTTGATAGTGTGTTCGTTCTTCATGATAATGTGTCAACATTCCATGTAGTCTCGGTCACAAATCCATTACCGGTTTCAAATTCCATCATATGATTTTTATATTTCATTCAGCCCAGATATAACCAATATTTTATAAAAAGAAAAAGAAAAATTTAATATTATTTTATTTTTTTTTTTTATAAAAAGTAATGTAAGAAATATCATCAGCTGGAAGGCTTGAGAATGAGAATTATATATAAAAAAAAGAAGTCGCAAAATAAAAGATGGAAAAACATAGTAAGTATATAATAATAATAATAAAAATAATAAAAATTCTCTGAATAACAAAAGTACGGTCATTGCCGTTAATGTCTGAGAATTCATGCCCTACTTTCGCCGCATTCCATTCGACTTTGAACTTTAAATACAAACGAATATGTATGTATGTATATAAAAAATAAAAAAAAAAACTTATAAAAATGGTAATGAAAAAGAAAAAAAATACAAAAAATAATTTTAAAAACTAAAAATAGCAGCAACATAAAATATAAGATTGAGCGAGTGAGCGAACGGTTTGAAACGAGTAAACGACTTAAAATCAAGTAGAGCTTAAAAGAATATTAAAAATGAAAAACAAAAAAGTTTACCTATATGTTACCTATATTTCTTTCTCTCTCGGTTTCTCTTCGGTGTTTTTTAAATGCATTTCCATGAAACACGAATTACATACGAATAACTGACTAAAATAATTTAATATTAATAAGTAACTATATATATAATATTATAATGTAGATATGTTGAATTTTTTCCTCTAAGTACACACATAGAGGAATGTATTGTATATATAGAATACATTTACGTACATATATATATGTATGTATAAAATATAACAATACATGAACATAATATAACATTCAATTTAGTTTTTTTTTTTTGTATCTTGAATACCAATAATGCGAGATGGTAAAATCAAACGGTGATGACATTAACGGTGATGAAAGATAGTTAGTTATGTGCAACTTTTATTTTAAATATTAAATGTTTTTTTACACTTGCCGGTTATGTTGTATGCTAAGAGATTAATAGACTAGTTTTCCATTTTTTTTTTGTTTGTTAAATATCACTCAGCATAATTTGAGTTATTAAAAAAATTTAAAGAAGAAAATAATAACAAAAGAAAAAATATAACCGTTTTAGTAACTATTATATGACGTGAACTACATTATAACAATTTTAAAAAGAAAAGAAAATATTTGATGCTTACGATTGTATGTATGTATGTATGTATATTCATTCAGCGAGTATTATAAAAAATAATAATGTTTACGTGTAAGTTATATTACTTGCATAATAAATCAGTATGTATATATGTAGATATATAATATAAATATGTATGTTTGTATGTATTGAATTATTTCGTTTTGTCGCTTTTTTTTTGTATTTAAACTCTAATGAAAGGTAGAAACCGGAAATTTTTTTATTTTTCTTTAAAGTTAAAGTAAAATTTTTCTTATTATACAATATTTTTTATAATAAAAGTATTTTATGCTTAATAAATATTTAAATTTAATTTCTTTTATCTCTTTTCGGTAAAAATGCTTTAATGAAATTTTTTTTTTTACCTATACATTTTGATTTTGAATAATATTACAAACAGATAAAGTTTTATAAAAGCAATAAGAAATTAATATTTAAATGTTTTTTTTTTTCATATTATAATTAAAACTTATGTTGAGAAAAAACATAAAAATTTGGTTTACTTACAATGAAAGAATTATGATTTAAAACCAGTGCATGTTTTTGTGTGAACGGTAAGTATATAATACACAAATAAAACAAAATTGAAAATCACAAGGGCAATATGCTACTTAGAGTTATTGTTACAATACTGTAACAATTGTTTCCGTTATAGAAGAAAATAAAGTCAAAAAAAAAATAGAAATATAATTATAATTTTTATTATCTACACAGTATATATGAACACGTATATATATATATATATGCAAATATATATTAGTAAAGTTATATAAATTTTATTTATACTTACATATGAAGGAATGTTGTTATGTCTAAATAAACTTGAAGTTAAAAATTAGTCTTTTGCAC